CTATGAGGTCTACCATTCGTGATGTACACAATTTCGCTGATGGTGGTATTGTAACATCTCTTATCAATATGCTCCTAACGGGTGGAAGTCTTGGTGGTGGATCAAGACAGGTACTTTTCATATTCTTACTGCCAATATATATATATATATATATATATGTACAAATATGCACTAACTCTGGGCATTTGTCAGTTGTCAGCATATATAGATAAAAGAAAGAGAAAAAGAAAAAGGTTTAAGAAAAGAGATTAAGTAAGATTTGAAGAATAGATTTTTAGTATTTTACAAAAACAACATCAAGAAAATTCTTTCTTCCTCTTCCATAGTGCTGTTGATCTGCATTTCATATTCTTGCACAAGCCTGTAAGTAATGCAGATTGCTGCTATATGGAACATGGGTAAGTAACATAGAATTTTTAACATGAGAAATGATGAGTAGGTTCTGATAGAATTTGATTTGAGTATCTTTCAGAAAGCAATGAAACTGCTTACTGTACTACAAGAATGATTGTAGCATATATAAATACATACTCTGATAAAAATATAAATAATTTACTGTATATGGTGTCTGCTGAGTATAAGCTCTCAAAATTTACTGTGCAGGAGCCCCAGTTAACTGCCCACGAACAATTTGATGTGTACTCAAAACCCTTTTCTCTGTGAATCTAACTGGCCTATGATAGCTTCATCCAACTGCTTGTAATCTGTTTCAAAGCAATGCTCCTTGGATTTTGTTCAACTCTTATTGAGAAAAGGCATTCTCTTAATTTACTGCAGATTCTTTTCTTTTTTGTTTCTCCATGTACAGAATTTTCTTTCTCATATATGGGACATAAGATTTAGGAACATGTATATAGGAACATGAGTTTTACAAACTGTTATTCTTAGAGCATTAATATCAAATAGTTGAATTTTATAAACTCGAGCATACACAACCATATACACACAACACACACACACACACATATCTCATTTTTCTTTTCCAAAATCAAACGAAAGGAAATACAGTGGATATAGATTCAAGTTGTGGAAAGTGGTAAAATGCCATTTAGGATCATATCGATTTCTATCTTTGGTTGGTGATTTAGCTATTTAGATATTATATTATTTATGGTCAATTATAAACATGTAATAAAACTAATTTAATAGTTAAACGCATATAATTCAGATTATGAGACTATCTAATACACATTATGCTCCAGTTGAAAAACAGATGACATATTGGCTAGTGTTGGGCAAGTGGGCTGACAATTTTATTTTTAAAAAATATTTTTTTATAGATCACCCAAATCCACTCCACTCAACTACGCCACTTTGATTTCTTCATTTATTTAATTTGTTTTTTATTTTAAGATGAAGTTTAATTCTTATTTTAATTAATAGAAATAAATTTATATTTATAAATAAGAAAAAAGAGGCCTACAAATTATCATGTTTTACATATTAATTAGTTGTTATTATGCATCAATGAACATTTAATAAGATGTATTTATAAATGCACTCTACTTTACTTTTTTTAAAATAATATTTATCTTAAGAATGGAAATATGATATATAAATATAATGAGAATTTTGAACGACAGTACGCTCTAATCCCAAATCAATTTGAAGTTAAATATTTTTTGTAATTTTTATAATTAACATATAAATTCATAATTTTTAAATTAAAAATATAAATAAAATTGATTCAATCATACAAAAATTATAAATATAAATTAGAAGGAACTTTTACATTTTATTTATCGGAAGCATTTATTACATATCATTCCAAATTTGTCTGCTCTTCTGAGAAGGAAAAAAAATTCTATTTAGTTCAGCGCCGCCATGTCTGCTTTCTCAATATTAATAAAAGAAAAACACCCAAGAAAAAGAGAAAGGGGAAACCCAACTTAGATTAGTAAGACAAAACAGTAAACTAAGTTGCTCAACACATTTTGGCGACTTAATTAATTATTAAACAAACCACACGACGTCGTTTTACCGAGTCCCTTCTTTTCCTCACGGAGTCGTTATAGCTGCAACAAAGTTCATTAAACCAAAGTCAGCTTACGCATCTACACTTGCAAAATTTTGAACAAAAAATGATATGTAATAAGATCAAATAGGAAAAATGTTCTCCACCCAATTCATTTCTTCGCACACACACACACACATATATATATATATATATATATATATATATTACCTCCACAAACGAAGTGTCGAGGAACAGTTCTTCCACAACCTCGAAGGATATTAAGTACACGTTGTACTCCGATGAGAGCAGCGAGCTTAGGGGTGACGACGGGACAGACACACTCGAAGTGAGTCAGTCTAATCCGCGCGCAGCAGGCGGCGGATGGCTTATTCCCTAAAATAATAGGCCTGCATCTGGACACCAGCAGCCTCTTCTCGTTGTCGCACTGGCTAGGGCTCAGCCTGCCTCCGCCTTGTGCGGCGCACTCCCCCACAAACAACAACACTACCAGAACTGCTGCTAAACTTAATCCCCTCTTCATCTCTACTTAAATTACTCTCTCAATCAATTTGATTTTTCTCTAGCTAGTTAGCTACTCTTCTTCTTCTCCAGCTTCTGTGAGGCAAAAGCACTGACCAAGAACTCTATTTATATATCCATAAACAAGACTTTCTCATAATGGTTTCACACTCTAGTCAATTAAATACGGCAAAAGTAACCAACTTGGAAATTTTCTATTGCTCTTTAGCACATGGGTGCTTCAGCTTTTTCTTGGACGTTTAGCTTCGGGTCAAGTCTTTAGGCCTATGGCATCAAGTTTGATGGGATTTCTGTGGGTTGTTGAATAATAAGTAAAATATTTAATTTATAGTTTATTAAATTATATTTTTTAGTAAATATTTGAATATCATATGTGAAATAAATGACTAAACACAGTATAGAGTTCATATTGTTGTTTTTTCTAGTACTTGTGTTGAAAATATTTTAGAAATAATTTTTAAGTAAAAACTAATTTTGAAATAGAAAATAATATATTAATTAGTACAACTCGTGATGGAAGTGTTTTTTTATATAAAATTTTATATTATATTTAATTAATTATGTTATTTTAATAATTTAAATTATTAAAATAAACTATATAGTAATAAAATTAATTATTATGATTATTTGTATGATATTATTTTTCAAGTTATTTTAGTAATTGAAAATTTCTTAATATATATTTATTTTATTTAATAGAAATATTCAAAATGTACGCAGTTTTTAAATTTTATTTTTATATTTAAAAAGCTTAAATTATTTTACAATTGTAATTTATTTTTATTTAAAATAATTTTTTATCTCTAATTTGTGATAAGCTATAGTTAAATTTTATTTTTATATTTAAAAAATTTAAATACACAACTATTATATATTCTTAAATTAATTTATTTTTATGTTTAAAAATTATTTTAAAAATAAAAAGGTTTAGAAATTTACACATTATGTTTTTTTTTTGGCTTTCCTTTTATATATAGATTAATTAAAATATAAAATCTTATATATAATACCCAAACCCAAAAATTGGCTTGAGATCAATTTTGATAATTTAAAAATAAATAAAAATATTATTTATAAATTAATTTAATTTAATTTTGTTAAATTATTGAAAAAATATGTTATGAATGTAATCGAAAATAATTTTGAGAAAAATGAGTAAAAATTTAAGTTCGAAATGCGTTTTTAAAAGAAAAATTAGAAACAGGATTTCAAAATACAAAAAAAAAATCGGCCATGTAGGACGTCCTAGTCAGAAGCCCCGACGAACTGGAGTACGCTGTGTGGTAAGACACATTGACATCAGCGTCGCGCGGGCGATCTGAGTGTCCAACGATCGGACAGCCCGGGATTGATCTTGCGTGCGTGGACGGCTCGGATTCGTTCACTTCTTAGGCACGATCGGACGAACGAAATTAATTGCGATGAACGGTTTAGATTTATTTTCTTATTAGGTGCGATCAGACGGACGATATCAATAGCGATGAATGGATTAGATCGACACGGGATGAGTATAAATATTTCATGTCGCATGGGAACCCAAACTTTAGCCGTCAGCCCCCGCCGAACAAAAAGAACCAGACATTAGAGAAGAAGGTCAACCGCCGACCGCCATCGCACCAGAGCCATCGCCGGCTGCCATCGCACTAGCGCCACCGCCAGCTGCCAAAAGAAGAAAAAATTTTTCTTACCCGCTCGGAATTCGATTCTGAGCATCCTTGTGGCCAAATTGGAGTAAGTGGGACAGCAGGTGAGCTGGACCACGGGTAAAGTCCGGTGGAGCCGCTGTAGCCAAAATCTAAAAATTTCTCCGATGAACCCCTTCCCGATTCCCGTTTCATGCAATTTTTCTATCATTGTATTCACCGTCTTTTTTTGTGCAGGTTAGCCGAAGAAAAAATTCCAATCGCGAAGGAGAATCAGCGGAGCCACTGCACCTGTAGGTTCCCCCATCGGTAGGTTCGATTTTTGTAATTTTTCGGCCAATCGAGGCTTCCTAATGTATTTTTCTGCAGGGATATGTGCAAAATTGGCCAAAATTAGCCAGACTGCGGTGAACCGTCACCGGCGGCATGCCAAAACTCCAAAATTGGCTGAAAAGAGTTTTGGACACCAATTTTAGATTTTTGAAATATTTTTAGGTATGTGACAAGTGTTTTGAATTTTCATATGAAAAATTTAGAAATTTCGGTACTCGTTGGGTGGCGTAGTAGACAGTCCGAGGTCTCAAAATACCAATTCAATTAAAGATCTCTCACTCTATTCTCTGTTACAATAAATTGAGGCTCAAAGATGTATAATTTCATATTTTTATGAAAAATTAGAGAACTCTAAAAATAATTACAGGTCACTAGTGAAGTCAGAACCCGTTAGTTCACGATTGTCCTAATTTTCTGTTTATTTTTTGGTGCTGCTCTATTTGCTTGTTATTATATACTGCATCTTCTTAAATTATATTTTTTATAGCTTTATCAATTTATCTGATTTATTCGGTTATATACCGTCATCATAAATATAGTTTAGTTGATCTGTAAATATAATATGAGATATTAGTGTGCGTGGTTTGTTATTTTATTGATAAAAATCTTTATGTGAAAGACTTACTGAGTACCCAAAGAAAGAGCGGACGTGCCTCATACATAGGAAACCCTACCGTGAACGTTATCTCAGTCGAACGAGGATGGGAAGTCCCTTACCGAGAAGGTTTGAGAGATATGATTTACCATCATACTGGACAAAGTATCGAGGTGATGGAATGTTTGGTGCCCATTACCGGACAATATATGAGAATGGTCGATTAATTGTTTAAATTAGATATTAGGTTCACGAGTTGAGGAATATCCCTATGTAGCCCTATGGGTACCAGTAAGTAGGTAAGAAATGAAAATTATCGTCTCTTGTTCTTTTATGCGTGAAAATAAAAAATAGTCTGAATATGAGTTTTCATAGGTTATTTTCGGAAAACTCATTATGGTAAGTACGGAATAAACGGTTTTCTTTATATTGAATGAATTTACTCAAATTAAGAGCTCTACTAGTTATTTTATGATTTTTAACAATATTCAGTTTTTCATATCTGTGATTAGTGTGATATTCTTATTGGGATAGTGTAGTTCACCATTTCATTAACAATTTCAGATTAAGAAGACCAATATTCAAATCCTGATCAGTAAGAGCGTTGTGAATAATTCACCGCTCAAACTCTTTTCAAATAGTAGTGAAAGTTGTTCTAAAATGCTTATTTATTCGCTATTCTTTTTATTTTCTTAATTATTGTTTATCTTTTAGTAGAAATATTCACGTAATTCTATTAGACATTCTAAATTATTATATAATAAATGTAAATACTAATGCTATTAATCACTTCTACATTTAAATCATAAATTTATTTTTTTTTGAGGTTGCGGATCTTTACATGATAAATCTATTAAGACCCATAAACAACAGTTTATTAAAATTAATTATAAGAGAAGATTTTATCCTTTAATTTAATTTATTTTTATCCTTTTAATAGGAATAAAGATAAATTAAAAAATTATAGTATGTATATATTTATATACTAAAAATTATTAATATAAGGCAATTTGAATAATGCATTTCACCGAATTTTTTATAAAATGAAGAAAAAAATTTAACCCTTCAAAGGAAAAAAAAGAAGAATTATTTAAGTTGGTATAAATTTAATTAAGTGAGGTGGTGGAAGAGCAGGTCGCCTAATCTCATTTGAGCTGCGAAAATGGTGCAGTTGACATCAATCCACATTTCAACCTTAATACAAACCAACATGCAGTACATATATATATGATATGTAATATACACAAGGGAATATATCTAAGCTCAGAAATGGCAGAGCAGCACGAGAATGGCGGACAATATTTAAAGAGAAAGCAAATAAGACAACCACCTTCAGTTCCTTTTCTTTGGGAAGAAAAACCAGGAATACCCAAAAAGAATTGGAAACCTGCAACACCTACCATGTCTTTTCGTTATGATCATCACCTCCCACCTCCTGTCAAGTTCGTCGCTTCCATTCCTTTCAACTGGGAAGAAAAGCCTGGAAAACCTCTGCAACATTATTCATCTCCTTATAATTCTCAACTCTGTAACACCAACAATGGAGTCGAAGCTGCTAAAATATTTGATTTTGAAACTGATGATTCCTTCAGCTCTGCTTCTTCTGTTCTACCCAATTGCCTTATGGTGCAATCGGCATCAGTAATTTCCATGGAGGAATCGATTGATGATATCTGGGTTCAGATGGCTGGAGAAACTCCTTCTTCGCCGGCTTCTGAAATTACAGAGAGTGGCAGTACGAGTAGTTATGCGACTGGGAGATCGAGCCTTGTAGGATCTTCTTTCCTGGAATGTCTGTTTCCTTTATTTCCTCCCACTTCTGGGTTTCTCCAGAAAGTTTCCTTTTCTGATGATATTGTTCCACCAAATTTACAAGGCAAAGATGGTGATGATGATGATGATGAGAATAATAAGACGAGTGGCGAGATAAGGAGACCCACAACACTAGGAGAGCTGATAATGGTGAGCCGGAGGAGAAGTTGTCAGAGAAAAGCTGCTCATTTCAGAAAGCTCGACCTTTCAATGGTAATACATACATATACGAGTACACATGTATAACGCTCTTGCTTTTGTTTCCGACATATATGTGCGTGTGTGTGTATAGAATTAGATGATATGGTGGGTGAAATAAAATTGACAGGAGTTGATGAAGAAGCGAGGTGTTGGCTGCTGCTGCATGTTGACAAGCAGCATGATCAAAGTGATGGAAGGATTGCAATGGAAGAAGCTCCAGCCAAGGCACAAATTGGTGTAGACCCAATCAATCAAAATGTTTGAGAAACACGAGAAAAGAATCGCAAGAAAAAATATATATATATATATATATATGTATATATTGCAGAGAAAAAAAATGAAATGTAATTAATGAAAGATATACGGCAAAGTAAGAAATGAAATTACATAAAAATATATTTATTGGATGCGAGTGGATTGTCTTATAGAGACATGCTTTATTATCTGACACAAATTTATTCACTGATACTAATTAATCAAATTATATTCTCTTATTTTTTATCACTAATAATGAAAATAAATTTTAATATTTATTTTAAAAAATTAAAATAAAATAAATAATAAATTCGATGGAATAAAAACACTTCAACACAAAATCTATTCACCGATCATGAATTGAATTCAAGTTCATGATGCCTTTAATGACAATTTGGTTGGTAAGAAGAAGACATTGATTATAGTGACTCCAAACAAAGACATATTACGTTTATTGTGTCAAATTCTGCAAAAAAAAAAAATATATATATATATATATATAATTATAAATATAATTAAATAACAGAAATATATTACTAACTTTGTAAAATTATTTACTCAACCCAACCAAATTATTGGCA